AATTCATGTGAATATGACTGAAAAATCTCATTTTTTCTGAAAAGGTGGTGTCTATTTACTTGTGACCACACTGTGTACAGTTTTTTTTCAATTAATATATGTATTACATTACTAAATCCAATTTAGAAAATTCATTATGTATAAAAACATTCTTTTATGTTCATCAGTACTGATGTACATAACTGGAATTTTGTTGCAGTTGTAACGTTTTATTGATTGGTATTCATGTAAATCACTAGAATTTAAATATTTTAAAATTTTTGTTCCTTTTTACCTGGGAAAATTACTAATTTCTTTAAGATATTTATATCTTGTTATTCATTGTTATTTGTGAATATGTCTGGAATATGTATATTTTAATTTGTGTTAATAGCTATTATCTCATTATATTTTTAATTTCATATTTTATATAAATTGTATTTACATTTTTCAGTACTATTTTACATTTAATTTTTTCCCATGTGAAATTCACTGCTATTTTGTTCAGTTTAATGTGATTTAACATTTTTTTGTATATAATGTTTTCCTAGACACAGTTTGTAGCTTCTGTTATGTTTTTAGTTTTTTTACTTACAGTTGTATATAAAAAAAGCTTTAAATTTACGTAGTTTTATTTTATCATGTTTTTTTCAAATTAAGTTCAACCTTTTATTTTAAATAATTATAGGTGTGGCAAAGCTGTATGGTTACTGGATAGTGGTCAATTACCGTGAAGCTTACAACATGTTTGCCGTCAATGGGATTTTATTTAACCATGAGAGCCCCAGAAGAGGTACTTTTATAGTGTAGAAAAATGATCATTTGAAGTTTTGACATGGTGATACTGACTATGGAGAAATTAATGATATGTTTAACCTCTTTTACAAGATGAATCAAATGGACTGGGCTGGGATTTGTGTTTTCCATGTTTGTAACAACCAAATCGTTTAACTGTATTTCAGAAAAACACTTCAAAATTTGAAAAAAAGTTTTATTATTTAAAAAGAGTATCAAAACTTTGTTTAACAAATTAAGTAAGTTGAGAAAGTTTAACCAATAATGATGACTGACATGGTGGCTCGAGTTACTAACTATTTGTAGCTACAACTTTTCTTTTTTTCTTCTTCTTAGCACTGTTGTTTGTTATTTATTGTTAGAGTATATTGATATTATGTATATTTTAATATTAATCCATTGGTGGTAAGTGAAAAGACTGGGAGATTAAAATAGATAAAGTTCCAGGACCAGACAGTGTTTTCCCGGGTTTTAAAGGAGATCAAAGATCAGATATGCTAGCTTCTCTCAATAATGTTTCGTGGGTCAAAATACTCACTTAAATCAAAGGAAACCCAAGACAAGAAACAACAATTAAACATCCGAAATACATACATTCCTTGCAAATTAAATTATAATTCTAAACAAATTTATGTTCGTACAAAATATCATTGTTTGAGAATTGGAGAGATACTTGCTTCTGCAGTAGGAAAAATTCTAGAGATGATAAAATAAGCATTTCAAAATTATCTAGTGAAATATGATATCATAAATGAGAGCCAACATGGATTCACTTGCCTTATAAACCTGTTGACTTTTTTGTTATATTACTTGTTATTTGGATGATGGAAAAGGTGTGAACTTTGGTGTAGTTGGATTTTATGATGCCATTGAGAAGGTCAGCTAAAAAATTCACATTGTTAGGGGTTGAGGAAAGACTAGTTGGTTAGACTGTTGGGCGGCTGAGTGAGAGAAAGCAAAAACATTTTATTAACAGAGTCCAGCCAAACTTGACCATTATTACTAATGTTGTGCCACAGAGGTTATTGTTTGTGCTTTGCTTTTTTCTTATTTACATTAATGATATTGTCAGAAGTTTGGAAAATTTATAAGTGAATAACCATAGTTCATGTAAAAACATTTAATAGTATCAGGAAGTTAATAGTACAATATCTAATAAACAGCAGAATACTTTCTATTATCTGATCATTAAAAATATTACATGATAGGATTGCTTAATAAATAGTTCCTGAAATCATCTAAACAAAACATTTATCCAGTGTAACCTCATGTAAATAGTATAACCCGTGAAGCCTTTGTAACATTTTACCTATGAATACAAGTTTCGTTGAAAGGACTAGGAAATGAATAATACATTGAAACTCGTCAGTACTAGAATCTGGATCTTTAGTTCTGTATTTTATAGAGTGAGGTTAGCTGCTTTTTTGTTTCAAAATGAAGGATAAGTAAATATTGTCTGAACTCAAATGGCTAAATGTTCCAGCCATAGTTATTAAGAGCTGTGGTGAGTGTCTTAAAGCATGCTTGCATCCTGCACACGGAGTACAACATCACAACTGAAGTTTAAATGCCTGTGGATGTCAAGAGACCTTAATTTAATGATTCGAGGAATCATGATAGAGATGTTTGGTAAACAGGTCATTTGGTTGATTCAGTAGAATAATATTTCTTTCCACAAAGCACATAGGTCCTGTATCTTAATATCAATGTCTTATAAGAACCCAAATGTGAACCATGTAGAATTCTGTGTTGTATTAAAGAAGATGATATACCACAAGCAAATAACATCTAATTAGATGTTAATACTTATCAAAAAGTCATACTTTTTTTTTAAATCGAAAGATTAAAGAATTCATTCTGATCTAAAATGAACAAGTATCTTGGGTAGAGATGTTAATTGAATTTTTAAGATTTTTATATGTTTGAATTCTGAAGAAATCTAGACACTTTCATAATGTGTGTGTGTGTATACTGACAGTGGAATGTGCATGTAGTGATGTAATAGTATAGAAGGATACAGTCATCTGTAACAATACTTGTAGATATGAAGATGTATGTATCAGGCTGTAACTAAAGTTCTGATCGATTTTCAAATGAATTTAGACAAACAAAATAGTGATGATTATAGATGTATTTAATCATCAATATATTCTCCATTGTATTCGTGGTGGTTGATTATTGATTTGACTACATTATACTGGTTTAAATATTTACCAGTATATGTGAGCCCAACTGTTTTGGAGCTCACTGACAATTTAAAAATTGACCATGCAAATTTTAGCAATAGTGATATGTATAGCAGTTTTTCCGTTAAAGTCTTTTGTGTGATGATATATTTGTGCCCATTTTTCCAGTTTATTCACACACACACACACATACATATATATATATATATATATATATATATATA